TTTTTAGGTTAACAATTCATTTGGACTGTGAGAAGACAAAAAAATCCCTTAATGTAGCATGGAAGCTGGGTTATTACAATGTAGGTAGAATACATGGCAATCAAAGCTTTGGGGTCATGCTTGATTGGATATTAAAATCTTTTATAATCCAGGAGAAGAAAAATATGGGTGGACAGGGTTGACTCAAGATGAGAAAGCATAACCTGAGCTGCCTGTGGCCAGAAGGTGAGAACAGTTAAGGCAGAAGTCTTCAGAGAAAATCCAGTTTTCCAAGTTGTTGCCAGGTGAGGGTGTGTGTGTGTGTGTGTCTGTGTGTGTGTGTCTGTGTGTGTGTGTGTGTGAATGTGTAAGGGACAACCAATCTGGCTAGGCTCTTCTTAGGGATGTCTGCACCTCCCACCATTGCAACTTCATCTGTTCACAGCCTAGCACCCCAAAGGGCAAGACCTTATCCATGGGGAAGAAACTACAGGCTTGAGGGGCAAGTCCTTTACATCCCTACATCCTTTTCCTGTGTGGCCGGCCCCAGCAGCCAGGGCTTGCTCGCTTTTTCCGCCTTCCTTCCTTCCTTCCTTCCTACCTACCTTCTTTCCCTCTTTTCCCCCCTCCTCTCTTTCCCTCCCTCCCTCCCTCTTGTTCTTTCATGGTTTCTTCATTCTTTTTTCGTGCTGGCTCTGGGATTTGAATTCATGGCCTGGGAGCTGTCCCTGAATTTTTTTTTCAGCGCCACTTCCGGTTTTCTGGTGGTTTTTACTGGAGATAAGAGTTTCTAGGACTTGACTGCCTGGGCTGGCTTTGAACTGTGATCCTGTCAGCCTCCTGAGTAGCTAGGATTACAGACATGAGCCACTGGTGCCGGCTCTGTAAGACTCTTATCTCCAATTAAACCTCTCCCCCCCTCCAAAAAAAAACAAACGTTGGAAGTTGAGCTGTGGCTCAAGTGGTAGAGCGTAAACTTTGAGCAAAAATGTTCAAGGAGAAGGGCTGGGAAGGTGGCTCAGTGGTAGAGAACTTGCCTTGCGTGCATGAGGCCCTGGGTTCAATTCCTCAGCCCTACATAAGCAGATAAAGCCGGAAGCAGCGCTGTGGCTCAAGTGGTAGAGTGCTAGCCTTGAGCTAAAAAGCTGTGGCCCAGGCCCAGAGTTCAGGCCTCATGACTGACAAAAAAAAAAAAAAAAGGTCTTAAAGAATTCCCTTCCTGGGTTAGCTTTGAACTGTTATCCTCATATCTCAGCCTCCAGAGCTGCTAGGATTACAGGCGTGAGCCACCAGTGCTCCACTTAGGCTGCAACTTTAAAGAAATCATTCCCTAGCCTAGAGAAGGTAGCTCGTGCCTGTAATCCTAGCTACTTAGGAAGCTGAGATAAGAGGACGCCAGTTTAGAGCTAGTCTTAATAGGAAAGTCTGTAAGACTCTTATCTTCAGTTAAAATCCATTCAAACTGTGGCTCAAAGTACTAGAGTGCTAGCCTTGAGCAAAAAGAGCTCAGGGACAAAGCATATTTCCCTACATAGTCATTGTAGTAGGAAGACCCCTACTCAGGCGGGCAAGCCCACCTAGTCATCCGGAGTGACAGAGCCCACCGCAACAAAGTTGTTAATGAAGAAGCAACTTTCTTGAGAAGGTTCCTACACTGACCGGCCAGGGCCGCAGTACGTGGAATGCGAGTGCCTAGTGGGCCACTTTTGGTAAGCAGAACTGGAGCTGCGGGATGAACTGAACGCCAGGTTAAGGTGCCCGATGCCGACGCTCATCAGACCCCAGAAAAGGTGTTGGTTGATATAGACAGCAGGATGGTGGCCATAGAACTCGGAATCTGCTACGGAGTGTGTAACAACTCACCTGCTGAATCAACTAGCTCTGAAAATGGATAGTGCTGGAGCGTCAGGCCCATACCCAGCCGTCACCAGCAGTTTTATCGGGTAAAGCGAATGATTAGAGGTAAGAGGTCTTCCTAATACAGTCATATCTCAGCCTCCTGAGTAGATAGGATTATAGGAGTGAGCCACAGATGCCTGGCTAGTCACTTCATTATCAAAGCTATCTATCTATCTATCTTCTAATTATTTTTTCCTGATGCAGCAACGGAGGTTGACCTTAGATCTTGTACATGCCAGACAAACACTCTTACCACTGAGCAACAAAGCCAGCCTAATGAAAAAAAATTGTCATGTCTACTTCTCATTTAATAAATATGCACATATCCCCAGTTCTGTCCTAAATGTGTTTTGCAGCTCGCTTGTTTCTACACAGGAACAGGACAAAGTATTATACTTGCCTGTTATATATTTTAGGTCAGTCTATCTTGATCTTTGGACAATTTGTCCACCCATTTCCACCACATCCTTCCCTGGATCTTCAGCACAGCCAGTCCCAATCTGCCACATATCTGGTGTGTGTGTGTGTGTGTTATGTGTGTATGTGTGTGTGTTTGTACCAGGGCTTTAATTCAGGGGCTCAAACTCTCATGAATCTGTTGTTTATGGCTAGCATTCTACCACTTGAGCCAAGCTTCCAGTCCAGCATTTTACTGGTTAATTAGAGATGGCTTCTTGGAGCGGGCTTTTCTACCTGGGGTGGTTTCAAACTTTGATTCTCAGGTCTCAGCTTCCAGAGTAGGTAGGATTACAGGTGTGAACCAAGAATGCCAGGCCTGCCACATACTTTAAAAAAAATACTCATTTTCTAGTGGTACTCAGTAGACACTATGTTGAAAATGGACTATACAACTTTTGGGTGGGGACGAGATGGGAAAACTAGGAAAGAGCGAGGGAAAGGCTGGGAATGTGGCTTAGTGGTAGAGTGCTTGCCTAGCATGCATGAAGCCCTGGGTTCCATTCCTTGGTACCACATAAACAAAAAAGGCCAGAAGTGGTGCTGTGGCTCAAGTGGTAGAGTGCTAGCCTTGAGCAAAAGAAGCTCAGGGACAGTGTCCAGGCCCTGAGTTCAAGCTTCAGGACTGGCAAAAAAAAAAAAAGAAAGAAAGAAAGAAAAAAAATGCTCCTTTGTACAGTTAACCACTTTCCTGTCCTGAAGAACTTGTCCTTTATTCTTCAAGTTCACCTTGGAGATCTCTGAAATACATTCTCTTCTCTCCATCCTTCCCTGAGCTCATCAGCCTGACTCAGAGAACTCGGTTCTGCCTCCTGGCCGAGGGCAATCCACATTTCCACTCCTTTCTGCCCCGTGCCTAGCACATGCCTGGCAACTAGTGGGAGAACAAGAAGAAAACGGCTGAATACCCCTTTCTCTGGCATCTTTCCTCCTCTACGGTCTGCTGAGCAGAAGGGAGTGCAAGGTCCAGAATGGGTTTAATTGTACTCCATTAGAAGGGTAAGATCGCAGAAGGTATTCCTCAGTCCCCTCTAGCCAGGTCTTCCCTTTGCTCTTTCATTATGTTTGCTTTTTAAATTTAAATATTTTATTTTTTATGTGTGCCAGTCCTGTGGCTTGAACTCAGGGCCTGGGCACAGTCCTTGAGCTTCTTTTCTTCAAGGCTAGCACTCTACCACTTGAGCCACAGCGCCACTGAGGAATTGAACCCAGGGCTTCATGCATGCAAGGCAAGCACTCTACCACAAAACATTCCAGCCCTGTTTGTTTTATTAGCATATAAATTCCAGAAAGTAAGGAGTTTCATTCTGACATTTTTTAAACATGAATATGATACTTTAATCATATCCACTTCTTTACTGTTTCTTATTCCTCTTTCCCATTTTCCCTACCATCCTCCTTACATCCCCTACTCCTTATATAAAAGAAAATATATGAAACTTGTCTTTGTGAAACTGGTTTGTTTCATTTAATATGATGATCTTCAGTTTCACTCGTTTTCCTGAAAATAACGAAATTTCATTTCTCTTCTTCCTTTTTTTTGGTCATTTTGGGGCTTGAACTCTGGACCTGGGCACTGTCCCTGAGCTTCTTTTGCTCAAGGCTAGTGCTCAGCTTTTTTTTTAAAGATGGTAATGGGCTTTTGAACTCAGGGCCTTGTATTGCTAGGTAACTCGCCCATTCTTTTAGAGACAGGGTTTCACCAAGTTATTCAAGTTGGCCTTAAACTTGTGATCCTCTAATCTTTACCTCCTGCTAGGCTGGATTACAAGAATGTGTCACCAAGCTTGCCCTTTGCTCTCAAAAAGTTTTTCTTCTTTCTTTGTACACATTACCCTACCCCCAAGGTCCAGGAAGTGGCTCTTGAAGGTTGTACCTAAGAATTTAGGTATGGGGCCAGACTGGGGGTGTGAGGCTGGGTCTGTTCATAAGTCTCTCCCAGCAGCACCTTCTGGAGACCACCAGTGGCACACACGGAGGGAGGCAGCTGGATCCCGCCCCCAGATGGGGAATGGGGGGAGCGAGATGAGGAAACCCATGAGGCGTAAACCTGACCAGTGTGAATACACTCCATGCTTCCTCACTCCCCGCCTCCGCCAGAACTGGTGGATCAGAAGGGGCCCTGGACCTTGTTAATCTTCCCCAGAGAGAGGAACCAGGAACCGCCGTAATTGACGGGTGGGTAGCTGGCCCAGGACCCTGGGCCTCCCCTTTTCTCAGTCCAGGAGCCCTGGGAAAAGGCCAGAAACCCCTAGTGACTTCCAGACACTTTTCTGGACGTGTTTACTCTGGCCCCACCCGATCCAGGCGTTCTCTGCAGATTCGGGATGGGGTGGTGGGGAGGACGGCTCCCCCACCCCCCGGACGGCGCGGCGGGTTCGGGGCTCCCCGTCGGGGGCCACCGCTCGGGCCTCGCGCCTCCACCCACCGCCCCGGCCGCCGGCGCCCCGAGGGGCCGGGCGCGCGGGGGCCTCGCGGCGCCCGGGGTGGGCGCCGGCTTCCGGGCAGTGGCCACGTGGCTCCGGCCGGGCTGGGCAGCAGGGGCTCGGCGCCCACCCCGCCCCTCGCCGGCCCCGGTGACTCAGGCCGCAGCTGTTCCCGCGTCACGAGGGCGGCGGGCGGCCGCGGGGGGAGGAGGGGGCGGCGGCCGGGCCCGGGGCGGGGCCGCGGCGGGCGGGCGGGGCGCGGGGGGCGCAGCCAGAGGGCCGGGAGCCGCGGCGGAGAGGAGCGCGCGACCTCGAGGAGCTCAGGTGAGGCGCGGGCCCCGGGGTCGGGGGTGGGCTGGGACCCCCGCGGGCCGCCGTCCTCGGGGCCCGGCCCCCTCCGCGCCCTCCCCGGGGCCTGGAGCCACTTTGCCTGGGAGTTCCCTCGCGGAGCCCGGGGTGGTGGGGGGCGCGCGCGGGGTTCTCGGGGTTCCCGACCGCCTTCTGGGATCGGCGCTCCGCGGAACGGGGCCCGGGCCGGCCGGTGGGGGGCCCGCGATCGAGCCCCGCACGGGCTTCTGCAGGAGCCCGGAGACCCGTCGAGGATCGGCTTCGGATCGGCTTCGGGCTGGGATCCCGGGCGGCGGTGCCCGGGGGTCGGGCGGGCGGCGCGGCGCGGGGGGGCGGAGGGGCCCGGCAGGGGTCCCGTCTCCCCTCCCTCCCTCCCTCCCTCCCCCTCCCTCCGTCCCGTGGGCCGCGGCGGGGGGCAGGGAGACGTGGATCTGACCACGGGCTTCCGGGTGGGAGGGGCCGGGAATGGGGGCCTGCCAGGGAACCCGCGAGAGCCGGCGGGGCGGGGGGAGCCCGGAAGCCCGGCGTCCCCCCCCTCCACTCGCGGCGCAGCCTCCTCATCCCCTCCCCTCGCTCCCTCGGCCTCAGGCCCTGCAGCCATGGCGGTGGAAGGAGGCATGCGATGTGTCAAGTTCTTGCTCTACGTCTTCCTGTTGGCCTTTTGCGTGAGTGGGGCGGGAGTGGGGGGTGGGGGGGGGGAGGCGGCGATGGGGGGCCGCCGCCGGCCGGGCACGCGAGGGACTCGCTGGATCGAAGGAGGCAGCAGCTGGAGACCAGATGTCGGGAGGGAGGGAGGCCCCCGGCGGCTCGGGCCGCCCCGCCCTCCACCCCCAGGCTACTAGTTCGGAACCGGGTTTCGCTGTCCAGAGATTGCTGCAGTTCCCGTCCCCACCTCCCCTGGCCTTCCTGTCTGGTGACCCAACCACTTGTGATACGGGGCAGGCGGCCGCGTGTGGGGCAACCAGCCAACCGCCCGATGCTATCTGGGCTGGGCTATCACTCTCCCCCCTCCTCAGCCGCCCCACTCCCGGTCCTCCCCCCCCTCCCCCCCCCCGTGAGCTGTCTGTCCACCTGATCACCCCCCCACCCCCACCCCCAGTTACTGGGCCCTCCACCCCTTTACCTCCCTCTCCTTAGTCACCCGAGGGTAGTTTGGGGAGTTGCAGAAACAGTAGTTCTCTTATTAGGAATGTGTGCCCTGGAGTCAAGCTTTGCAGCTTGCTTTCTGCTTTGCATTGGGCTCAACTCCTCGGCTCTAGAGCTGCTTAAGGGAAGGCATCACCCCCTAGCCCCCTTTCCCTGAACCGGTCAGCCCCCAGCCTTCTAGTGAGGCCAGGATGGGTACCCACTTCCCCAGCAGTCAGGATCCCCAGGGTAGCAGTCAGGGCAACCCCCCCCCCCCCACCACCACCACACACTGTGGAGGCCTGCTGGATTGTGGGTCTGCTCTAACCTCTACCTGCCTTCCGCTCAGGCCTGTGCCATAGGATTGATCGCAGTGGGGGTAGCTGTTCAGCTTGTCCTGAACCAGACCATCATGCAGGAGACTACCCCGGTCACCCTGCTGCCTGTGGTCATCATTGCCGTGGGTGTCTTCCTCTTCCTGGTGGCCTTTGTGGGCTGCTGCGGGGCCTGCAAAGAGAACTATTGTCTCATGGTCACTGTGAGTAGGGGTGTGGGAACAGCCTGGGGATTTCTGGGTTCAGTGTGGTAGGTGGGTGAGAAAGGGCCTCCATGAGTGTTCTAGAGACTGACTAGGGCCAGAGCAGGTCGTTTTCATTCAGACTTCAAACCTAACTCTGGTTCTCTTTTGCCCCCACAGTTTGCCATTTTCCTGTCTCTTATAGTGCTTGTGGAGGTGGCTGTGGCCATTGCAGGCTATGTGTTTAAAGACAAGGTAGGGCTGGGAATGTGGCTTAGCAGTAGAGTGTTTCCCTTATATGCATGATTTTGATTGCTGGTTTTGATTCCTCAGTACCGCATAAGCAGAAAAAGCTAAAAGTGGCACTGTGGCTCAAGTGGTAGAGTGCTAGCCTTGAGCTGAAGAGCTGAGGGACAGCGCTCAGGCCCCAGGGTTCACTCCCCATAACTGACCAATAAATAAATAAAGACAAGCTGGGCAGAGAATGTGGGAAGAGCCTTGCTGCCTTAGGCTGGTCTGGGGCCGCTCTCCTAATTCTGTCTTCTGTAACACCCCTGCCCCTCCTCACTCTCAGGTGGTAACCGAATTTGAGAAGGACTTCCGGCAAGAAATGAAGAATTACACTAAAAACAACAACACTGCTGTGGTACTGGATGAGTTGCAGAAAAGAGTGAGCAGGGCTGCCCGGAGCGGTGGGGAGAGAGCATTCTCATCTCTGTTCCGGAGGTGGTGGTTCACTTAGCAACTCTTTCTCCTGCTTTTCTCCACTCCACCAGTTTAGCTGCTGTGGAGCTAGTAACTACACAGACTGGGAGAATGTTCCTGGCATGGCCAAGGACCGCGTCCCCGACTCCTGTTGTGTTAATGTCACTGTGGGCTGTGGAAATGATTTCAAGGTGGATGAGATCAATTCCAAGGTAGGGGGAAGAAGCCTGCGGAGACATAGGGCAAGAGAAACCTGGGGTGGCTGCCCAGGGTTGGGAAGGGGGCTGGGGTGGGATGAAAGAGAGTGTGAAAGAAGAGACAGATGGATCAGGAGAGGTGGCTAGGAAGCTCCTTTTTGATGGTTCTTTTGCCTGCCTGCCTTCAGGGCTGTGTGGAGAGTATCGGGGTCTTCCTGAGGAAGAAAGTGCTGCTGGCAGCTGCAGCAGCTCTGGGCATTGCTTTTGTAGAGGTGAGTGATGATGTGGGCAGGGGCTGGGACTCAGTCCATGGCATCTGGGGAGCAGAGGTGGGGAGGAGGGAAGCCAGCAAGAAGTGCTGGACTGAGGAGGGGAGGCCTGGGCATATTTGGGGATCTCTTGGATAGGGAGTGCAGCATCTGCTTCTGACTCCTTTACTTCACCCCTTATTTCCTTCTAGGTCCTGGGAATTGTCTTTGCCTGCTGCCTGGTGAAGAGTATCCGAAGTGGCTACGAAGTGATGTAGGGAGCTAGTCTGTTCAGTTTCTTCATTGGTGGGGATCATTGTGGGGAGTGGAATAATGTCCTCCAGGTTTTTCAATTAAACGGATTATTTTTTCAGACCAAAAGAGAGATGGTTTCTCTTAGAGTGATGTTGGATCCAGACCCACCTCCCCCCCTCCCCTTTTTTTTTTAACTGTACTGGGGCTTGAACTCAGGACCTAGGTGTATTGTCCCTTAGCCTTTTCATTCAAGGCTGGCACTTTACAACTTGATTCACAGCTCCACTTCTGGCTTGTTGGTTACTCATGGATTTTCCCGTCTGGGCTACCTTCAAACTGTGATCCTCAGACTCAGCCTCCTGAGTAGCTAGGATTACAGATGTGAATCACCAGTGCCCAGCACCCAGCTCCTTCCCTCTTCTGAACAGTCTTCTGAGTGATGCTAAGTTGTTTGGAACATGTGTGGCTAGTGTTTCTGATTCTTGACATAGTAAAATTTGAATCTTTCTTCTATGGAAACAACCTTTATTTTTTTTGTCAGTCATTGGGCTTGATCTCTCTAGCTCGAGGCTAGTGCTCTACCACTTGAGCCACAGCATCACTTTCAGTTTTCTGGTGGTTAATTGGAGATAAGAGTCTCATGGACTTTCCTGCTTGGGTTGGCTTTGAACTGAGATCCTCAGATCTCAGCCTCCTGAGTAGCTAGGATGACAGGTGTGAGCCAGTGGCTAGATACAACCTTGTAAGATTCATCTTCACCTTTCCTCTTCCCACATGAAAATTAGATAAAGCAAACACAATTGTGACCTTATTCTAAGGGAAAAGGTGCCCTCTGATGGTCACTCCAGGTACAGCTCCAAAGACCATCTATAAATGCAAGGTAGCCCCCTGGTGGGTGCTGGCTGTTGTTACAGATTAGCTATTGAACAGGAGAAAGGTTGGGTCAAGGCAGTAGAATAGTCTTTCATTGAACTTTTGTTTTTAAAACACACATTTTTTGAGTGCCCATTCTGTGCCAGGCATTCACCAGAACCAGGAAGGGGACAGAAATCGAAGTCCCTGCCTTTGAAAACCAGACTCTTGCTGCAAGTCTGGCTTCAGTGGATTGACTGGGCAGGCTTGGGAAGGACCCAGGTGAGCACAGCATCCACCAGGCTGGCTGGCAGATAGGAGGCGGGCAGCCAGAGTAGCTTGGCATCCCATCCTGGGCTGTAGCGGGTCCGAGGATGACGAGCAGTCAAGGCGTGCTCCAGACATCTGCTCACCTTGGTGAGGTCTGGGTCACAGATGAGACTCATGATGCGTCGCTGCACTTTCAGGTCTGTGGTCCCACGGGTGGTAGCAGTCAGTGTCCTTGCCCACTGCAGTCCATCTACCCTACCTTCTGGATCCTTGGGCCTGTTGCCTAGCAGAGGGAGCCTTAGTCCCTTCCTATTGTGGGGAATGGGCAGTGTGCCCAGACCCTCTCCCACCCAGGAAAGACCTTTCTGGCCCTCTCATGTCTCCTCATGTACCCCGAATGTGCCCAGCTACTCACATGTGGTGAGGAAGGCCTCCCCGTAGCAGGCCTGTGTGGCTGGAGGTAGCCGGGCCCAGCAGGACTTCAGGGTGGTCTCCAAAGTCTCCAAGTTGGTTACAGGGGTTCGGAAGAAGCCAGGTTCCACGATGCAGACCCGGACCCCAAAAGGAGCCACGTCTCGCCTAGAATGAGCAGAGGGATTTCTGAGTTCTTGCCTTATATGCAGGTGATTTTCAGGGCCTTGGATGAGGACTCCCAAGATGGAAGGTTATCATAGATCAGGGAAGAGGTGACAGGAAGGAGGGATAAGGGCAAGTATGGCAGGTGGAGGGGGAGGGTTTTTTGTTTTTTGTTTTTTTTTGCCAATCCTGGGGCTTGAACTCAGGGCCTGGGCATTGTCCCTGAGCTTCTTTTGCTCAAGGCTAGCACTCTACCACTTGAACCACAGTGTCACTTCTGGCCTTTTCTTGATGTGTTACTAAGGAATTGAACCCAGGGCTTCATGCATGCAAAGGCAAGTACTCTTACCACTAAGCCACGTTTCTAGCCCGTATTATTATTATTGTTTTGTGACATGGGGCTTTAAACATGGGACCTTGTATTTGGTTGGAAGGAAAATACGCTGCCATTAGGCCACATCTCCAGGCCAGAAGAAGGTATGTTTGTTTTTTTGTTTGAAGCAGGATCTGATATAGCCCAATCTGGCTCTGAACTTGAGATCCTCCAGAGTGCCTCGCCTCAGCTTCCAGAATGCTGCTTTTTTTTTTTTTTTTTTGTTGGTCGTGGGGCTTGAACTCTGGGCCTGGGCGCTGTCCCTCAACTCTTCAGCTCAAGGCGAGCGCTCTACCACTTGAGCTACAGCGCCACTTCCGGTTTTCTGGTGGTTTTATTGGAGATAGGAGTCTCACGGTCTTTCCTGCCCGGGCTGGCTTTGAACCGCGATCCTCAGATCTCAGCCTCCTGAGTAGCTAGGATTACAGGCGTGAGCCACCAGCGCCCGGCTGCTGCTTTGTTTTTATTATTCTTTTCTAACTTCAGGACTTATCTTGCTAAGTAAGCACTCTATAGTTTGATCCATGCCTCCAGCCCTTTTTGCCTTTGCCATCTTTGAGATAGGGTCCTTTTTGTAGCAGCCTACCTGGACTGCAGTTGTACTAGCTAGACTTTCTGCTACAGCTGGGATGACAAGTATGTGACATCACACCTAGCCTTCTCTGTTGAACCAGGGTCTCCTGAGCTTTTTGCCTGGGCTGTCACTGAACTGTCATTTTATCTCTACCTCTTGAATAGCTAGGATTACAAGTCTGAACCATGGATGTCCCTTTTTGTGCTGTCCTTGGGCTTGAAATCTGGCCCTGGGTGCTGTCTCAGAGCTCTTTTACTCTACCAGAATGGTAGTGCTCTACCACTTTAGGCCACAGCTCCATTTGTTTTTCTGATGCTTAATTGGAGATGAGTTTCACAGGCTGGGCACTGGGGGCTCACCCCTGTAATCCTAGCTACATAGGATGCTGAGATCTGAGGATAAGTGGTTCTCAACCAGATGGGCAAGACAGTTCATGAGACTCATCTCCAACTAACCACTAGGAAACTGGAAGCAGAGCTGTGGCTCAAAGTGGCAAAGCACTAGCCTTGAGCAGAAAAGCTCAGGGAAAGCTCCCAGGCCTTGAGTTCAAGCTCCATAACCAAAAACAACAAAAAAGGAGTCTTGCAGACTCTCCTTCTTGGCTGGCTTTGACCCATGGTCCTCAGATTTCAGCCACCAGAGATTATAGGTGTGAGCCACTAGTACAGTTTGTAATTCTTGATTGAGGTGAAAACTCCATTCTCTCAGTTCCCCAAACAGGATTGAGTCCTGAGCCCTGGACATGAAGGCTCTGGACTGGTATTGGGTGAGGGTGAGGGTTAATTTGACGGGAAGAATGGGGTACATCCTACTGTATTTGATGATGTGTTGATGATGCTGGCTGGGAGATTAAGAGGAACGGGGACAGAGGAAGACACTGCAGCGATGGTGTTGGGGTCAGCTTCTTCACAAGGCAGGCTCAGCTTGGGGCAGCCCAGGCTTCTGCCTCGAGTCTGGGCCCCTGTGGTCCTCAAGACTGCTCGTTTGCTCCCTGAACCTTGTGTGCACTGGTACTGGGGCTCAGGCTCAGATCCTTGTACTCTCCGTTCCCTGTGCCCAGCTGGTGGTCTGCCACTGTAGTCAAACCTCCAGTCCCAGTCTGGTATTTCTGTGGTTACCTGGAGATAGAATCTCACAAACTTATCCTCCTGGGCTGGCTTTGAATCAGCAGCCTCTACATCTCAGTCTCCTTAGTAGATAGGATCCTCTGCTTCCCACTGCTGGGCCTATAGACACGTGTCACCATGCTCAGCTTATTTTGACTTACAGTGGGCAGGAACAAATGCTTCTGATGAGTGGGCTCCCCCTTGTAAGGGTGTGGGACCCCGAGTCCTGTACCTCTTACCTCAGGCTGTCAGAGAAGGCCTCTAGACCAAATTTGGAGACACAGTAGCCTCCACCATTGGCTGCCAGGCGACCCAGGACACTAGTGATATTGATCACTCGGCCTTGGGCCTGCTGTAGCAGGGGCAGCAGGGCAAGGGTGACCCCGATGGGACCCAGCGTGTTCACATTTAGCACCCGATGGAAATCATCTCGTGTCAGCCATGGTGTAGGCCCGATGATGCCAGCCACGCCCGCATTATTCACCAGACCAAAGAGCCCTGTGGAAGATGAGACAGGCGGGGGTTGGGGTGGGGAGGTAGTGTTGGGGGGAGGCACTCCCACATTCCCTCCCTTGGAGCATTTAAATACGCATCCCCTCCAAGTGTCCTGGGGCCATTGTGGAGACCAGGTTCCTGGTGGCTCTGGCCGTACTCACCAGCTTTCTTAACGTGTGTCTCCACCCACTTGGCTGCCTGCTGGATACTGTGGGGGTCAGTCACGTCCAGCAGGGTGGTGTGGAGGCGGGAGGAAGCCATCTGCTGTAGATTCTCGGCCCCTGAGGTGGTCAGGCAGCTGGCTAGCACTCGGAAGCCCCTCTGGTCCAAACGCAGTGCCAGAAGGCGCCCAAAGCCCGAGTCACAGCCGGTGATGAAGACGAAGGCATCGCTGGTGGGCAGGCTCTGCCGGTCCCTGAACCACCACAGCACTACCCAGAGCAAGGCACCCAGCAGTAGAAGCAGCCACATGGCTGGGACCAGGTGACCTGCAGGTGATCGCCTAGTCTGGGCAGGAAAACTTTGTCATTTACTTTGGCCCTTCAGCCCTCGCCTGACATCCTCCCAAACTGGAAGTGTCTGGTTTGAGCAGACTGAGAAATCTGTTAGGCAGATAATTGGCAAACTATGGCTTATTGTGCAAAAACAAAAGAATGTGGGCAGACTCCATATTTGTGGTTAACTTTAAAATGGATGAGTGGAGTCCAGTGCACTGAGCTGCTGTGCGGGAGCAGAAGATCTGCTTTTCCTCACTCCTTCCCAACTGAGTCAGGGACACTGGAATCCTCTAGATGGAACCTGAGCCCTCAGCCTTCTTTTTGGAACCATCTGTAGGGTCAAGAGCCCTACATTCCAGTCCTGGTGGCCTCAAGTCCTGCTGTGTGACGCTGCATGTGTGTGTTACTTAGGACTGAATCCAGGGCAATGGGCATGCTAGGCAAGTGTTCTGCCACTTAACCTAATGCCTGCATGAACCATCCTCAGATCTCAGCCTCCTGAGTGGCTAGGATTACAGGTGTGAGCCACTGGCACCCAGCTTTTGTCACTGCATCTTTTAACCTATTTCTTCACCTGCTAAATCAAGCTACTATTTGTCAGCCCTGCTTCATAGCAGAGGTGGGCTAAAGCATGAGCTAGGGTAGGGGATTCCTGGCCAGTCTTCTTGCTGCGCCCAGATCTTGGTTGTCCCGCTTACCTCCTCTGCAGAAAGCTGGCAGGCACCACGATGTACTTCTCTTCGCTGCTGTTTAAAGACTTTGTTCCCAGTCTTCCTCACTTGCTGTGGCGAAGGCCAAAGTCCAGAGTGGGTATTAAGTGTGTGTGATGGGGTGTGGGGAGGGCTGGAGAGGGGGAGCCAGGGAGGCCGGAGCTGCCTGGCTGAAGCTAGCACTTGGGCAGTAGCCAGATCTCTGTTCCCCAGTCTGGGCTTTGGGCTTCAGACCCTCCCTGCCGCTGCTTCACAGATGGGAGCCGTCACGGATGGCACCTGCTCTCGTGGCTAGCCTTGGACCTATAGTTCTTTCCCTTCTTAGACCTTAAGTGTCCCCAAGAATGAATCTCCCATCTGGTGCAGCCTCATGACATGGCTTAAGCGCCAACCTGCAAGAGGCCATGAGCCAAAGCTAGGACCAGGCTTGTTCCTGTTTCCTTTCTCCCCTGGAGGGACCTCACATCCAGAGACCACTTCTCTGGGGAGGTAGGGTAGGGAGCTTGTATCCCCTGCTTAGGCAACTGGGACCCACACCAGGCTTGAGGAGAGAGCAACAGGGCAGTCTAGTTCCACCCTCCACCTGAAAGGCACCTGTTCCTCCGGGAAAGCACCTCTGACCTTTCCATTCATTCCTACCTCCACAAGGGGGCAGTCCAGTGAAACAGCACAAAGAAATAGATACTGTATTTTATTCACAGCTCATCAGTTTCCCTCTTGCCCAGGTGAGTGAGACCAGAGGGTGGGGCAGGGGGAGGGGGAGAGGGGCTAGGAGGAGGCAGACTGCAGCTGCCCTTTGTAGACGTATTCCAGTGCTGTGGCAATTGTGCGCATGTCTAGCTCGATGCTCCGAGCCCAGTTCTCCACATCTCCGATTTCCTAAGAATGGGGAGAGGGGTTTAGAGGTCAGGACTCAGGTTGGGTAGAGGATGGCTTCCAAACCATCTCCTGGAAGGACTTCACCTGGGTCTACCAACCGCTTTTATTTTTTTGTCAGTCATGGAGCTTGAACTCAGGACCTGGGTTCTTTCACTTAAGGGCTAGCACTCTACCACTTTGAGTCACAGCTCCAGCTCTGGTTTTCTGGTGGTTAATTGAAGAGTCTCACATACTTTCCTGCCTGGGCTGGCTTTGAACCTCAATCTCCTCCTGCATAGCTAGAATTACAGGGCTGAGGCACCAGTGCTGGCTTTTATTTCTTTTTCTTTTTTCTTTGTTGGTCTTGGGGCTGGAACTCTGGGCCTGGGTGCTGTCCCTGAGCTCTTCAGCTCAAGGTTAGCACTCTACCACTTGAGCCACAGTACCACTTCTGGTTTTCTGGTGGTTAATTGGAGATAAGAGTCTCATGGAGGCTCATGGATGGCTCAGTGGTAGAGCACTTCCCTTGCATGCATGAAGCCCTGGGTTCGATTCCTCAGCACCACACAAGCAAAAAAGAAAAAAGCCGGAAGTGGCGCTGTGGCTCAAGTGGTAGAGTGCTAGTCTTGAGCTGAAGAGCTGAGGGACAGCGCCCGGGCCCAGAGTTCAGGCCCCACGACTGGACCCCTCCCTCCCCGCCCCCCAAAAAAGAGTCTCATGGACTTTCCTGCCTGGGCTGGCTTTGAACAGTGATCCTCAGATCTCAGCCTCCTGAATAGCTAGGATTACAGGCATGACCTACCAGTGCCCGGCTTATTTCTTTTTTTCTTTCTTTTTTTGGTTGGTCATGGGACCTGAACTTTGGGTCTGGGCGCTGTCCCTCAGTTCTTCAGCTCAAGGCTAGCGCTCTACCATTTGAGCCATAGCACCACTTTCGGCTTTTTCTGCTTATGTGGTGCTGAGGAATCGAACCCAGGGCCTCATGCATGCAAGGCAAGCATTCTACCACTGAGCCACCTTCCCAGCCCCCCCTTTTTTTTTCTTTTGTGCTAGTCCTGGAGCTTGAACTCAAGGCTTGGGCGCTGTCCCTGAGCTGTCTTGATCAAGGCTTAGTGCTCTACTATTTGAGCCACACCTCCATTTTGAGACTTTTTTTTTTAATAATTGGAGATAAAATTCTTAGATTTCTCTGGCTTTGAACTGTGATTTTCAGACCTTAACTTCTTGAGTAGCTAGAATTACAGGCATGAGCCACCAGAGACTGGCTTCTCATATATTTTGTAGATGGAGGGTCTTGCTATGTTACCCTACGCTGGTCCTGAACTCCTGGACTCATGCAATCTTCCTGCCTTGGTCTCTCAAGTAGCTGGGACTACATGAACATGTATCATGATGTACATATGCTAAGCATTTGTTGTTGTTTTGTGGTGTTGGGGGATTAAAAAACTCAGGCCCTATGCATGCATGCATTGTCCCACTGAGTCATATCCCCAATCTGCTTTTCTTTTTCTAGATGTTCTAACACTGGGGCCATAGACGGGGAATCGGGCACTATTCCGCTTTCTCCTAATCCTGGGCTCAAATGAGGGTGGTGATGTGGGGAGTTTGGCTCACCTTGAGTGCCTGGTTAAAGTTCTCCACCATCCCGATCCACTGGCCTGTCTGCTTGGCAAACTGGGCGGCCTGGACCTGTAAGGTCTTCACCTCGTGGTCTAGCTTCCTCTGGTTCATGTAGGCCTGGGCCACACTAAAGATTGGAGGGAGGAAGTCAGCTCCTCCAGCATGTGGGGTGGGGTGGGCCTCAGGACTAATGTTCTATTGCAACAGTGGGGGGGCGGGGAGGGGGCAGCCAGAAGTCAAGGCTTGGGAAAGCTGGGGCTTCTGGCCTTTCTTGGATGTGATGCAAGTGAAGCCTGCTTCTTCCTCCATTCCCAAGGTTCCCAGGAGAGCCAAGTTGAGAGCTGACTAGAAACACATCAGCTCCTATTTTCTAAAGGAGGTCCTGCAGCTGAGTGGGAGAAGGAAGGGTTAATTTGGGAAGATATCCCTGAGGAAGAAGGGGTGTGTTGGTGCTGGGAAAATCCAGCAGCAGGGATGCATCTGGCAGAGATAGGAAGCTCAGGGATTTGTCTAAGAAGTTGGAAAGGGAAACTGGGCCCCTCCCTGAATCTAGGGTGGGATGGGACTGCAAGCCCCCTCCCCAGGAGCTCTGGGTCAAGAGAGGATCCCAAGAGTTTCCTCTTGGCTCTCTCTCTCTCCCAATCCTTCTCTTTTTGACCACACATGAGCAAACACACAGATTCCTTCCCTTCTCCAGGCAAGTGTCTTCCTTTCTCCATTACTGCCACAAGGTAGTGGGTGTGGGTCCTAATCCACCAATAGTTTTGCTCCCCCCCCTCCTGAAATGATTGTTCTCCCTATTGGCTGATGCATCTTTCACTCAATGCTCAATCCGATTCTAGGTCAGCCAGAAGACTCCATATCCGGTACTCCCACCCACTGGAATGTGTGGGGGCTGAAGGAAACAAGGGGTTGCTGAAGGAGGGGGGGGCTCAAGAAAGTGGGCAGGACACCTGACAAGGGCTGAGACAGACTGGGTCTTTGTTTTCCCTTCTATGGAATAAAAGGAGCTGTGGGCAGTAACACAAAACTCTTTCTAATCTGGATTTGGTTTAGCTGCCCTCTAAGCTGACAGTGGGGTGGTCTCTAGCAAATCAAGAGGGAGATGCCTGGGCCAACTTTAGGAGGGAGGGAAAGGGGCAAACCTTGCCCCTTCTATGGAAAACAATCCAACACTGAGAAAGGAAAGCTGTCTGGATGGAGGGAGAGGAGATCCCAGGCTCCAACCCCAGTCTTCCTTTCCTCTAATCTCCAGTAATGATGATGACCCCAGCCCCTGCATGACTTCTTTTAATGACTCAGTGTCTGGATTCACAACTAAGCTGTTCTCCTTGGCCTGAGTGGAAGGCATTATCTGGCTTCTTTTCTTCCAACACACAGGCTATCAAATCCTCATTCCCCCCACTCTTCTGAGTCATACAGGGTCAGGAGACAATATGCTTTGTTCTTTTCCAAGTCTTTGGCTATTACTGACATTTTCATTTAGGTCCAGTACAAGGGATGACCTCTTGAGACCCAGAAGGAAAAGGACAGAAGGCTGGTTCTACTGTGGCTGGCATAGGTTGTACCCTCACCCCGACCAGCTGTGCCATCTCTTTCCTGCCAGCTGTTCTCCAGAGGCTTCCCAGAGGGTGAGAGGTGGGGGAGCGGGCCTAAGTTGTGGTCAAGGAGGGTGATCTCCCTCCCACCAAAGTGACAGCTGGACTTGGAAGGATGAAGGGAGGTGGGCAGATGGCATCAAGTTGTAGTGCCAAGGAAGTGGGGAGGGGAAGATCTGGCTGCTTCACCAACCACTGCAGCTGTTCCTTTTTCATCCAGTGTTTGGGGTCTGAGCTGACTCATTTTTCTTACTCTTTTTCTTTTTTTAGGGCCTGGGCACTGTCCCTGAGCTTCTTTTGCTCAAGGCTGGCACTCTACCACTTGAGTCACAGCACCACTTCCGGCTCTTTCCGTTGTGGTACTGAGGACTCAAACCCAGGGCTTCATGCATGCCCTAGCATGCACTCTACCACTAAGCCACCTTCCCAGCTGTGGAATCAAGTTTTCCTCTATGAAGTTACACTGCAGGGGAGGAGCAGCACAGGGGGAGGGAGTGGGGCATTACAACCCTTCAAGAGTAGTGTGGGGGCTTGGGGCGGGGGTGAACTGGTGTTGGTGGGGAAAAGGTTCATACCCCACATTGAGGTGATCCACCAAAGCTTCTGTCAAGCAGGTCGCTGCCGTGATGGCCTCTCTTCTCCTCTTCTCTGGGGGAAGGAGAATAAAGGGATTGGAGAAGATACTTGTTTTGTTTTTGAGGGGTGATGCCAGCGGTTCCTCATCCACCCATTACTTTTCCGCTAGTTCCCAACACTTAACAGCTTAACTCAAAAATGCCAGCGCTGGAAAGGGCTTTTGACAAAACAGAAGCAAACCCCTTTCATTTTAGAGATGAGGAAACTGGTATCCCGACAGAGGAAGGGACTCAGGGACCCCAGGGACTTCCGAGCCCACTCTCCATTACCATGCAACGGTCACCCCAAGCTGGATGCCGTGGGGGGGGGAGGGGAGGAGAAAACCAAACGGGCCCAGCAGACCCTCCAACTACCCAATGAGTAACAGGCGTTTCTTCGCACTTCCGGGGTGAGACTCCCTGGACCAATAGACAGCGCGCAGCACGGGGAGGGGGCGGGGCCTGGGTGCGGCGGAGGCGGGAACGGAGGGGGCGTCACCGAGGGGACGGGCCGCGGCCTGAGGGACCGGGGCGGGCGGGCAGGCGTGTCTCCTGTTTCTCTTCCCTTCACAGCCCACAGCCCGCTGGCGGGCGCCCTTCCCTCGAGCTGGGCCAGGGTGCGCGGCCTGATTCTAGGCCGCGGCCGGGGAGGAAGCGGCGGTCAGGCTCACCTTGCAGCTCCTTGCGTTCATTCTGCTTGGCCTGGTGCTCTCGGAGCAGGCGGGACAACATAGTGGCGTCGGGCCGGGCCGGGCTGGGCCGGGCTGGGCCGGGCTGGGCTGGGCCGGGCCGGGCTGGGCTGGGCCGGGCCGGGCTCGCGGAGTCCTGCCGACAGTGCGGGAGGAGGAGGAGCACGCTAAGGGGCGGGGCCACGCGTCCGCGGGGTCACGTGATCGCGGCAGGGGGCGGGGCGGGGCGGGGCCGGGCCGGACCCTGGGGGAGTTCTTTGGTGCGTGCTGGAGCAAGTCCACGTTACTGTCCACCTCGCAGACCCTGCTCCTTATGCATACATTCATTCATTTATCCACTTATTTATTTAACTGATTAATTTATTTAGTGCTGGTCTTTGGGCTTGAACTCACGGCCTGGGCGCTGTTCCTGAGCTTTTCCTGTCCCCCCTGGCTTCGAACTGCCATCCTCAGATCTCAGCCTCCTGAATACCTAGGATGACAGGCTGCTGCAGAGCCTGTTTTTATTTTATTTATTTATTTGAACGTCCTGGGGCTTGAACTCAGGGCCTGGGCTGTCCCTGAACTGCTTTTGCTCAACACTCTACCACTTGAGCCACAGTGCCACTTCCAGCTTTTTTTTTCTGTGTATATGGTACTAAGGAATCGAACCCAGGGCTTCATGCATGCTAGGCAAGCACTCTCCCACTAAGCCACATTCTCAGCCCCAGAGCCTTTGGCTCTCAGGCCCCAAGAGGGTTGGTGTTGCCAGGTTGGTTGCCCATCATGATTCGGTTGTTGGGATAGCTGAGGCTCTCTGGACTCATTGAAATTCTTTCCCTTTGCTTGCTTGTCCTACCTCCTGGCACTGGTGCCCGTTTGCAGTAGATTTCCAGTTCACTCCCCCTACAAGAAAATGTTTTTCCTCTTTTTTTTTTTTGTAGCGTGTTTTTCACCTCTCTCTCTTTCCCACCCCTTTGGGGTCTCTCAGCTCTGGGTGATCCCTATAAAGAAGCAATTTAGGCCCTTGGAGCAGCCTTCTAGGGGCTTTGCTCATTTGGCGAGCTGTGTGTGGTCAATGTACAAAGTCATCCCTGTCCTTTTGTGGTCAGGGAATGCAAAGTCATTTTAAGCCTCAGCAGAAGCATTAAGGGCTGCTGTCAACGTAAAAGATAAATTATACAATGCCTCCAGAACTAAGCAAACATGCTTTCAGGATTGACTCCAACAGGAAAAAGTGACAAACATCATCAACAGATTGCTATTGTTACAGCACTCTTAGTTGCTTTTAAAAAAAGACTTATTAACATCCATTAGTTATACAAGGGAGAGTTTCATTGTGATATTTCCATATATACATAGATTATACCCTGATCAAATTCACCCCCTCCATTTCTCTTCCTACTCCCCCTACCCCTTCTTAGAAGTTTCAATGCCAGGTGTCTGTGGCTCATACCTGTAATCCTATTTATCGCCAATTAACCACCAGAAAATCAGAAGTGGAGCTATAGCTTAAAGTGGTAAAGTGCTTAGCTTTGAGCGCAAAAACATAGGGACAGCACTCAGGCCCTGAGTTCAAGCCCCACGCATGACTAAAAAAGTTGCAACAGGTTCTATATATATATATATATATATATATATATATATATATATATATTCCTTCTACTATTTTTGTCCTCCTTTACCCTCTCTTGGCCATGACTCTTCTACTAGTACTTGTCCTCAACATAGCTGTTTTACTTTCCTGTCATTCATTTTCTCCTTACAACTTTTTGTAATGTTGTTGTTTTTAGTGCTGGTACTGGGGCTTGAACTCAGGGCCTAGGCTCTGTCCCTTAACTTTTCCTTTTTTGCCAGTCCTGGGGCTTGAACTCAGGGCCTGGGCACTGCCTCTGAGCTTTTTTTGCTCAAGGCTAGACGTCTACCACTTGAGCCACAGCGCCATTTCTGGCTTTTTCTGTGTATGTGGTACTGAGGAATAGAACTTAGGGCCACATTCCCAGCCCTGTCCCTTAACTCTTTCACTTAAGACTAGTGCTCTACCACTTGAGCCACATCTTCACTTCCCCTCATTTTTAACACATTAATTGTTCAAAGGGGTTTCACCATAGTAATTCACAGTGCATGTATTATAATTTAGACATTTATTGCTCTCTCCCTGAATCCTTAGCTCCTGTTTGTTCAATAATTTTCATGTTTCTTCATGCACTTTGATATTATTTGTCCTTCATCATTCCACATGGAGGAGCTTTTAAAAAATGCCTTGATTTTCCCAGCTTGGTGTCTCATGCCTGTAAGCTCAGCAGTTGGAGACGGAGGCAGGAGGACTTGGAATGCAAGGCCAGTTTAGGCTACATAGCTAAATAGAATCTTAACCCTCCTCAGTCCAGAAAAGCATGGTCCCAGATTCTTTTAGTTGTTGTTGTCAGTTGTGGGGCTTGAGTTCAGTACCTGGGCATTGTCCCTGAGGTTTTGTTGTTTTTTTTTTGTCAGTCGTGGGGCTTGAACTCTGGGCCTGGGCGCTGTCCCTGCGCTCTTCAGGTCAACGTGAGCGCTTTACCACTTAAGCCATAGCGCCACTTCTGGTTTTCTAGTGGTTTATTGGAGATAAGAGTCTCATGGAGTTTCCTGCCCGGGCTGGCTTTGAACTGTGATCCTCAGATCTCAGCCTCCTGAGTAGCTAGGATTACAGGTGTGAGCGACCCGCACTCAGCTGTCCCTGAGCTTTTTTGCTCACGACTAGTTCTCTACCACTTGAGCCAAAGCACCACTTTTGATTTTTGAGTGGTTAATTGGAGATAATCTCACAGGGACTTTTCTTCCCTGAGCTGGCTTTGAACTGTGATTCTCAGATCTCAGTCTCCTGAGTAGCTAGGATTACAAGTGTGAACTACTGGCATCTGGCTAGTCCCAGATTTATTAAATGGATTCTCTGAAGAATAGAGCCCATACATTAGTATTTTGTAAAAGCTGTTCTAGCCTTCTTTCCTTCCTGTCCACCTTCCTTCCTTCCTTTCTTTCTTCTTCTCTTCTTCTCCCCCTCCCTCTTCCCCTCTCTTTCCTTCCTTCCTTCCTTCCTCCCTCCCTCCCTCCCCCACTCTCTCTTTTTGGGTCCAGTCATGGGGCCTGAACTCTGGGCCTGGGCGCTGTCCCTCAGCTCTTCAGCTCAAGGCTAGCGCTCTACCACTTGAGCCACAGCACGACTTCTGGCTTTTTTTTTTTCTGCTTATCTGGTGCTGAGGAATCAAACCCAGGGCCTCAAGCATGCAGGGCAAGCGCTCTACCACTGAGCCACCTTCCCCTCCCTCCCTCCCTCCCTCCCTCCCTTCCTCCCTCCTTCCCTCTCTCTCTCTCTCTCTCTCTCTCTCTCTCTCTTTCTTTCTTTCCTTTCTTTCTTTCCTTTGTAAGACAGGCCCAGGCTGGCCTTGAATTCCCAGTTTTCCTGACTCAGCTTCCAGAGTGATGAGTTTATAGGCTTGAGCTACCATGCTTGATCTGTTCATGTGATTTGAATGTATATCCAGGATTGAGAACCACTGGTCTAAATCAATCTAAGCCTGTTTCCAACTTTGACATTTAACTCATTTTCTGATCCAGTGCCACAGCTGAAATTGACTTCATTGTATTTGTGAGGGAAAGGTCAAATGAGTGCTGATTAAGTTAGAATAGAACATTCTTCTTGAATTTTCTATGTAAGACTAGAACTACTGATGCATTGGTGCATTCAGTTATTTGTAGACCCAAATCTTGGGAGACCACATCTTGGGAGATGTGCAACTATCAAAAGATGAGTGAGGGCTGGGAAGGTGGCTTAGTGGTAGAGCGCTTGCCTTGCATGCATGAGGCCCTGGGTTCAATTCCTCAGCACCACATAAGCAAAAAGAAAAAAGCCGGAAGTGGCGCTGTGGCTCAAGTGGTAGAGCGCTAGCCTTGAGATGAAGAGCTGAGGGACAGCGCCCAGGCCCAGAGTTCAGGCCCCATGACCAGGCCCCCTCCCTCCCCCCCAAAAAAGATGAGTGAGAAGAAGCTCATGAATGGTTAAATGGAAGCATTTAGCAGAAAATCACCAAAGTATTTTCAGTATAGACTGGGATGTAGCTTGGAGGTAGAATGTTTGCTTAGCATGTCCAAGGACTTGGGTTTGATCCCCAGTAACACAATGACTTGAATAAAAATACTGACTACTAGCCAGGTGCCGGTGGCTCATGCTTGTAATCCTAGCTACTCAGGGGTCTGAGATCTGAGGATTGCGGTTCAAAGCCAGCCCTGACAGGAAAGTCCAAGAGACTCTTCAATTAACCACCTGAAAACTGGAAATGGTGCTGTGGCTCAAGTGGTAGAGCACTTGCCTTGAGCTGAAGAGATCAGGGACAGTGCACAGGCCCAGAGTTCAATTCCCATGGCCAACAAAAAAATAAAATACTACTATATATGTGTTTGTATGCTTATGTATGTCATGAACATTTAAAAAATTTTCCAACCTGGGCTCATGCCTGTAATTCTAGCTACTCAGTAGGCTAAGATCTGAAGATGCCAGCCCCAGGCAGGAAAGTCTTTAAAGACTCTTCAAAGACTCTTCAATTAACCACCAAAAAAATGAGAAGTGGAGCTGTGGCTTATAGTGGTAGAGCAGGAGATTTGAGCACAAAAGCTCAGGGACGACTCTTAGTCCCTGAGTTCAAGCCCCATGACTAAAAAAATAAAATTTCCAGCTAGACACTGCTGGCTTATGCCTGTAATCATAGCTATTCAGGAGGCTGATATTTGAGGATCGTGGTTCCAAGCTAGCTTGAGCAGGAAGCCCATGAAAATCTTATTTCCGCTGAACCTCCAGAAAACTGGAAGTAGTGCTGTGGCTCACAGTGATAGAGCGTTAGCCCTGAGCAAAAAAGCTCAGGGGATAGTAGTGAGGCCCTAAGTTCAAGCCTCATGGCTGACCAAAAATACACACACACATACACACACACACACACACACACACACACACACACACACACACACACACACACACACACACACACACACACACACTCCAGAACTGGTACAGATGGTTGGTGTGTGTAATCCTAGCTACTCAGAAGGCTGAGATCTGAGATCACAGTTTGAAGCCAGCGTAGGAAGGAAAGTC